TTTTTTCCATTTCATGGTGTGTGGAACATATTTGTGACACAGTGTGCGTGTGTGTGTGTGGACAATATGTTGGCGGATGCATGAAATATAATCATGAATCATGTTTGCATGAATGACGCAGGAATGAACAATCGCATCGTGACATGCGCGGACACAAGTTACAGACAACCTGCGGACACACGCCAGGACAACATGGGGACACTGATGTGCACAAGTTGCGGACAGTAATGCGGACAAAGATGCGGACACTGATGCGGACAAAGGTGCTGACACTGATGCGGACAAAGATGCGGACACTGACGCGGACAAATATGCGGACACTGGTGCGGACAAAGATGCGGACACTGATGCGGACAAAGGTGCTGACACTGATGCGGACAAAGATGCGGACACTGATGGGGACAAAGATGCGGACACTGATGGGGACAAATATGCGGACACTGGTGCGAACAAAGATGCGGGCACTGATGCGGACAAAGGTGCTGACACTGATGTAAACAAAGATGCGGACACTGACGTGGACAAAGATGCGGACACTGATGCGGACAAATATATGCGGACACTGATGCGGACAAATATGCGGACACTGATGCGGACAACTTGCGGACACTGACGCGGACAACTTGCAGACCAAGCGCGGACAACTTGCGGGCAACTCGCGGACAACTTGCGGACACTGACGCGGACAAAGCGCGGACAACCCGCGGACAACTCGCGGACAACTTGCGGACACTGACGCGGACAACTCGCGGACAAAGCGCGGACAACTCGCGGACAACTTGCGGACACTGACGCGGACAAAGTGCGGACAACTCGCGGACAACTTGCGGACACTGACGCGGACAAAGTGCGGACACTGATGTTTGTAACATAAGTTTTCCCTTTTTAAATAGATAGTTTCTAAACAGTTATCTATCTATTTGTCTTATTTTGCAGTATCTTTAAGACCAATTGTCCACAATTTCAAGGCCAATTGTCCACAACTTCAACAGTCAATTGGCCACAACTTTAGGGCCAATCGTCCACAATTTCAAGGCCAATTGTCCACAACTTCAAGGCCATTTGTCCACAACTTTAGGGCCAATGTTCCACAACTTCAAGGCCATTAGTCCAATTGCCACAATGACATAGGCGACAGGGCTTTCAATGCCAATGAACACTGAGCCATGGTGAAAATAAATATGTCAAAGTCAAAAGTAAAAAGGTGTTATTGGTCCAAAGTTCCATGTCAATGTCATCTGAGTCACAAAAGGCAAATATCATATTATATTTTTGATGCATTATTTTTTTTAGTTATACAATTATTATTATTATTATTACTATTATATATATATTATAGATAATATTTATATAATATATAGTTATATTTTATGATGATTAACAAATTATATTAATAGTTAATAGGCTATAAGTTATAGGTGATAAGTTATATGTTTTAAGTTACAGGTTAATTCAAATAATAATAACTAATAATATTGTAGTAATGTATGTTGTATGTTACTAATATGTTAAGTCACGCTAATATTACATGATATATTCATGATTTATGACTCATGATTCCATGACATATTAGTATAATTTGGAATAGTCAACTATTTCAGATTCCCATGTTTTCTCTTCCCCATGATCTCATCGTCTTGTTGCACATGTTCCTTTCTTTGCGTTATTTTTTGCGGACGCTTGCACATGTCACATGTTGTTATTGTTGTTGTTGCTTTGTTTGATTATTTTTTTTTGTGCATTTGTTGTGTTTTTGGTTGACTTTTGGTGATTGTTTCTTCGTTTGTTTTTTGCACCTTTTTTTGTGGACTTTTGGCTGTTTTTTGTAGACTTTTTGCACCTTTTCTTGTGGATTTTTGGTTGTTTTTTTGTTGGTTTTTTGCATCTTTTTTGTGGACTTTTGGTTGTTTTTTGGTGTGTTTTTTGCACTTTTTTTGTGGACTGTTTGCTCCTTTTTTGTGGACTTTTGGTTGTTTTTTGCGGACTTTTTGCACCTTTTTTTGTGGACTTTTGGGCTCTTTAATGTGGACAGGAGGTGCTGGGATGGTGCTGAAATACTTGACGTTTCCTTTGTTTAGAACCTATGCCAATAGATAGTTCACGAGCCCTCCAAAATATATATATTTAATATGAGAAATTAATATTTATAGCTCGGACGGATTGCACAGGCTGCATGCACGGCGGAGCAGTGCAGTAGCAGCCGGTCCTGGTTCATGCGGGCGCTGGTCGCGCCAGGTCACATGCGCGCCTAATAGCACGTGTGGCTAAAAAGCCTCTAAGTTTGGATCTGGCCTCCAACCAAAGTGAATCTGGGATGTGTATCCGCAGTCCACGCAAAGGCATGTACAGCCCCAATAAAGGTTTGGGGACCGGTGGAGTCCTCATGATCACTTGGGGAAAAAGATTATGTAATATGGCCAGAGCTTATTGTAATGGTCGTAAAATGGCTCCAAAAGTCGGTCGTTGAAACAACTGATCTGGACATCTCATGCAAAGTTGCAACGAACCATCAATGGAAAAAGGGAACTGGAAAGCCCTATCTAAAAGTAAAAGACAAACGAATTCTGCATCACTGACGTCTCTCACTGTGCCTTCAAACTGTTCTGCAGCACCAACCCAGTTGACAATGTTGACCAGGAATTGACCAGGCAGTTTGTGTGTGCCATGTGTCACCTGGACCTGCCACGTCAGTGGAAGTGCTTCAAACCAGGGTACCCACAACCATTCTTCATCCTCTGAAGAGTCCTCATCAGCATTCTGGATCTGGCCAGCTTGTGTATTGTCCCCGGACTGTTTGTTGTCCGCAAGGTAAAAGAAAAATTGCCTGAGTTGGCGGATTTTCAAAGACCAGCCATCCAAAACGCTGACAATGTGACGGTATGTTCTCCAAAAGGCAGTGCTTCTCTGTCGATTGGTTCGAACTGCCAGTTCATCAGCTCTGTCATTCCAGTGAATGATCCAGTCTTCGAATGGGTCCTCTCCTGAATGACTTTGCAAGTGCGAGGGGACCCATCTGATGTCCGTTCGCACGTGCGCACGATCTTGTAGTTGCATCTGCAGTTCTACCCACAAATCCAGATTTGCAACTCCTTCTGGGATGGTGTCATACTGCTGGATGTAGTGCGCCACTTGCACCGTGGATAAAGAGTCAGACCAGAGGCATGCTTCTAGCTCTGTGCCCTGCAGCCAGTGAAGCGCTCGAAGCAGCGCCGTCAATTCAGCTCTGTCAATGGTCTGAGTGATCCCTTCTAGATATGCAGTGGCTACAACTGCCCCCATGGTGGCATTAACAACACTATATGAAGCAAGATTAAGCATGGGATACTTATCATTGCTACAGGAACCATCCAAAAAGAGATGTTGAACTCCACTAGTGGGGGGAGAAATAACAAAAATTTTGCCATCATCCTCCGGTTGACAGAGGAGTCGTCTCCAGAGAACCATGCACTCCAAACGAGGCACCAGCAGATGTTGTCGCGTGCAACTTGGCAGTTCAGCATTGTCGTAGCGCCAGTCC